GCATTAAATTAATAATATTATTATCAAATCAATTAACACTAATTTGATTTTCATTTATTTATTTTTGTTAATATTTAAGAAAATGTGTAAAATAAAAATAATAATAATAATAATACGATTGCAATGACTATAAATATTAAAGCCATTGATGACAGCGTAAAGTCAATGTCACTAAAAATATAAGTTTAATACAGTAGTTGGGTTTAAATATAATTAATATTTTGTTGAGAGCACCAGTATGTCAAATACATGCCATTTCTATTATCCATTGACGACAAATTGTATAAATACTTATTGATATATAATCTATATTATTATACAAACTATATATTAAACAGTAGACTAAATGATGCAATTGATTAGGCAATTCATTTCAATTATATTACAATTAAATAAGTTTTGATACTATAAATAAGGTTTTAATTAAATTAACTTTCAATATATGATAAAACATATATTTGTGTTTTGGAGACATTTGACAGTTGGTATCATAAAAACAATAGAAAAGTTAATTATTAAAAAGCATTACATTTATTAAATAGGAAACTATTTTGATATTAAACAAATTGATTCATTGGTAAACTAATCAAACAAAGTGAACGCAAACAATAATATTTAAACTTGATCAATTTCAAATTCAATTTAACTATAGTATATATATATATATATATATATATATATATATATATATATATATATATATATATACCTATGGTAGGTGTTTTAAATTTGTTTAATTGTTTTTATTTGTTATACAGTATAATGTTTTTAATGTATTTAATGCTCTATATTATCATTATATAAGTCATTAATTTGAATTTTCATAGTATCTAAAGGTATATTTGAATGAGAGTTTGTAAGAGATTTGTTGTGTGCAATGACTGCTATTTTTCAGTGATTCACTGCAACAGAGATCTACCGAATCTTTACACAGATTTATAGTCAATATATAGAGTCAGCAATTGTGGGAACAGTCGTTCAGATCTCAACCTCAATGGCAACTGTTTTTCGCCCAATTTATCAATGATTTCATAAAACAACAATCAATTTTTTATTTTAAATTTATATATAAATTGATTGAAAATATTGTAAATTTTCAATAAGTCATCTTTAATCTCAACTCTTGATTTAATTCTTTTAATATAAAGTTACAGTTATTTTAATATTATTAATAATTTTATAAACATAATTAAAATAAAGTAAGTTATTAAAAAAAATATTACAACTTTTTATAAAAATATTTGTTTAATTAATTGTTAATAATATCTAGTGATGTACCGATTGCAAAATGCGCAATTGCATTGGTCGGAAATTGCGTGAAATTGCCGCAATTGCAAAAAGCTCGATTGCGAAAATCGCAATTGTAACATAGAACAATTTATAATTTTTTAAAATTTAACAAAATTTAAATGGTAAAGGAATATCAATAAAAACATAAATTAATTATATAATTTTTAATTATTTTATCATAAAATGTTGCCATCTAAAAGCCATGTAAAAATAATAATAAATTAGTAAATTATCTTAATATATAGTAAACTAAATTTTTAACGTTGTCAAAGTTAATTTTTATACATTCCCTCATGCGCGCAATTTCAAGCAATTTCATGCAATTTTCCGCAATTGCGGCAATCGAAAATTGAATTGCGAAAAATTACCAACACTAATAATATCATTTATTATTTTATTATATTTTAACTATTAATCTTTTATATTACATTAACATGTAATTGACTGTCTGTGTAATGATGTCTCTCTTTATTTTTGAGATATTCTCTGAGATTTTATTTTTGATTTATATATTTAATATACATATTGTATAATAATTGGTAAACAATTTCTCTAAAATTTTATTTTATTGCCAGAAAATTTAAATTTATATACTTCAATAAAATACAATATAAATTATTTTTTATTTCAATGTTTTATGGTAATATTTTTATTATTTATATAATTATTAATAAAGTTAAATTAAATCTAATAAACTATATAATACTTAAATTGTAATAAGTTATAAAGTATTTTTAAATATGATATTTTTGTAAAATAATATGTTATTTATGACTATAAAGATAATAGTATTCTTAATGTTTTTGTATTAAGTTATTAAAAATTAATGATATAATTAGTGAAATGTCAAACTTAGTCTTTTTGATATTTCCTAATAATTAATTTAATTAAAAGTAACTTTATTTCTACTTATATAATTGAGATATTTATTTATTCAAGTATTAACAAAATAAGTTTGTAAATCAAATTATTATTTAATAAAAATAAAACGTTATAAATAAAAACAAATTATAAATAAGATGTTTATCATAAAATCAATTCAAATATAAATATTTTTACACATTTTTTGATTTTGTGAATATAAGTTTGGTAAACATATCTTGACATTAATTATATATAAAAATAAATAACTTATATCTAATCCAATATAAAAAGAGATTAAAATAGAATTTTTAAAATTGTGTATATATTTTACTATTACTTAGTTTTAATAAGTTTTTAAAATCTACTTTCATTTAATGTCACATATTTTTTATTAATTGAATTTAAAATATACCAATATTAATTTGTAATTTTATTAACATTTATATCTTTTTAAATTTTGTTATTTTTACATTTAATATTGTTATCATTTATTTAGTTATAAATTTAGTTGATTTCAAAATAGAAAAATTTGTTTTTAAAAATAATATTCAATTTATGACTTAGTTTGAAATAATATAAATCAATGAATTACAGAAAAGATTTTTTTAAAAGCCATCTAAAGTTTAATAATAAATGCAACAAATGTTTTATTAAAAGTGTTAATGCATTTTTCAATAGCTTTTTTAATTAACAATAACTGTATTCTTGTATATTACATTAAATACTATTTTTTATTCAATAAAATATTATTGAAATGTATTAATATTGTATTATTTTTAGTGACATTTATTTTTAAAATTTACTGATAAATACTTTACAAATTATTACATATACATTTGCAGCCTTACCTATGCTAATATAATAGTAGTATTATAGAAAACTAAAATTTATTTGTATAGTTTTGACGTCTTATCAAAAATTAAATAAAAATATATTTTTTTATATAAATACTATATATTCATATAATTTCCTAGAAATCCTATATAATTTGTTTATATAAAAAATTATTTAAAATAATTCTTAATATTTAGAAAAAAATATAAGATCTTCAATTGACTATAAAATATACAATTCTTTATAACAATATTAAAAACAAATATAAATGCCATTTATTATATCATATTTAAATACAATTATTAATAATGACATTTTTATTGTAACAAATTCTTAAATATTTTTCTTATTTTTTAAAATAAATTTCTATTTTTCAAAATTGAAATAAAATAACATTTTAGAAATTTTTTTATAAATATGAGTATTGTTTATAATATTAATAATAATTAATTTAAATTATAAAACAATTATTGTTTAATGTTTATTTAAATGTAATATAAACAAAATTAATATTTTTGTTATAATAACTTAATATTAAAACAATTTGTTTTTTTAATATACAATACTTTAGTCAACTAATATAATACAAGATTAATTATGACTACTTTAAAAATAAAATTTTTAGTATATAATCTTTTGAACATTTATTAGACTAAATGATAATTAAACAATTAAACAATAATAAATAAGAACTTCTTATTTAAAATAATATATTTTAGTCAATTGAGCTATGATTTAAATAAACATAATCTAAAGTAGAATTATATTTTTAAAACTTAATTTTTAAAAATCAAGATTATTAATATTAAATTTTTATTTTATATGTATTTTAATTAAATATTCAATATAACAAATTCAGTAAATATATAATATTTTATTATTAAAACAAATTTAATTTTAAGAAATATAATTAACTATTTATATAGAATTGACAACAAAAATGATTGTTTCACAACAAATAAGTTTTATATTGCTATCACTGGTAATACTTGTGACAAAATTAGTTATTTGTCAGCCAATTGTCGACAATAGCGATCAACACAAGACCACAACAATCAAAGATATTAATGAATCAGATTTAAGATATTTAATTGTGAAGACATTATCTCGTCATCCTTTGGGTATTTTGGGACATATTATCATAGGAGCCGTTGATAAGGCTGGTGTTGACGGACATAAAACTGGTATTTTTATAGCTATTATAAATGTATTTTATTTATTATCTAAGTTGTGATAATTATTTGGTGTAATTAATAGATGCGATGTCTGTAAGGGATAGACGCTATCAGACACCCAATGCTATTAATGATCAAAGTTTTCTCCGATTTGGACGAAACACTTACCGGAACAGCAAACGACCCAAAGATAACTATGATCTTAACGACCGATCATTTTTACGGTTTGGCCGAAGTTGGAGTCCCGATAGTTAAGATATTTATTACAAATCTTAATATTATAATTACGAATAATGAGTAAATTAAATGTATTTTAATTTAATAAATCTAATAAAATATAAATCACGGTTTTGTGATACAAAAAAAATTGTCATTAAATATAAATATTTGTAATTACTATTAAAAGCTAATAGTATTATTAAGTATAAATTATTAATCTATTGATATATAAATTTATATATATGTAAAGTATATTAAGAATTTAAATTATTAAAATATGAATTTAGTTCAGAATTTAAATGATTTGCTTATTTTGTAACTTTATTAAAACATTTTAATAATGAATTTGACAAAATATTTATCGAGTTTATCTTAAAAATTAGTATTTATGTAATGTTTGTAATGTGATTTTTAATATGAATTTTAAAATGTTTTAATGTATTTAGCATTTATATAATATCTGTCAGTTGTTACATATAATTCACTTATTTAAATGTTTTTATTTAATTTAAAAAATTCATTTTAATTTATAATCAAAAAATAACAATAAAAATAGTGTAAAATAAAACACATTTGTTTGATGGAAATATAATTTTTTTCATATACTATAAATTATAATCAATTTCGAGGTTTTTTCTGTAGTTGTCGACTACGGTATATATCATACTGTGGAGGAGCGGGATTGGAGTCATCGCCATCTGCCTCATCGTCCTCATCATTGAGCGTTCTCTTAGAAATGTTTGTATTATTTTCTGCCGCTTCCATAGCTATAGTAAACAATTTGCGGCCGTCTTGTACTGGTATGCCTTCAGGACGGGGACTCGTGTCCAGAGTTGAAAACTTTGTGCGAATGAGATTCATTAGATCATCAATCGATACAAACGGACCATTGAATGATGAGGGATGAGGTAATTGTGCCAAAAGAGTGGTCACGGCTTGTGGTGGAGGAAATATACCACCGCGATGTAGGTTACCAACTGTTTTAGTGATAAAATCATTAAATTAATTTAATTTAATTATCATTACTATATATGTTTACTTGGATTTTGTTTAGGCTTATACGGAACCATTTGTGAGAAATCGGGTTTTGGATAAGTGGTTAAAGTCGACGGAACGTTATTTGAGACAACATTAGCGACAACAGGTGTGAATGGATTTTGTTGGTTCTGTTTGACAACATATCCAATCGACTTGAGCTCAGTTTGGGAACAGGGAAGCAGATTCTGAAATTTATATCTATCGACCAGCCATGCAGTCTCTGATGTCTGTTTGTTGAGCTTTTCTATGGCTAAGGCTCTCCTCTTTTCCACTTTGATAACACTGGACAGGTCTCCAATTTGACACTCAAACTCAAGAAACTTTGTCCAAATTTCACTATAAAAATAGTAATCTTTTCATATTACTGTATATCTAATATATTACATTTATATAACTATGTGTGATATCTTTTTTAAAATAATAACATAATTACAGTAAAATAACAGAATATTCCTGACAGGAAATTCCTATCAAAATTAATTAATTTGATGTTACATAAGTTAATATACTAATAAAAATATAATGTCATAATTTTAATAAACTTACTTCTATAATATATTACAACTACAGTATAATAAACAAGAATTCTATATCAATATAGGGTATAACTATTATATTATGACTACAGTATACTGTATAACGATATCTGTTTCAATCAATAAACTCTTATCAAATTTCATAATAATTTCTATATTGTCTTTCATAATATGCAATAACAAAATTGGCAAAAATAAATGATTAGTTAAATAACTTTCATAATATAATAACATCATTATTAATAATAGCACAGTTGATGAACAAACAAGTGTTGCATTATATAAAAAATATCGTCAATAAGAATAATAAACATTATTACTTATAAAATAGTAATCTCTATATCTGTTTATTAAATATTAATAATTGTATCGCATCTTAACATATCTATACTTTGATATATCTTTATTACATCATATATTATCTAATATTCAATTTTATTTGATTATACACTTAACTCGTATCAAAAAATAAAATTATAAAAATATTTTACAAATTAAGTTATGAAAACTTAATGAATACATGAAAGCAATATTTGTAAAGTTGCGTTACATGAAAAAGTCATCATTAAGTTAAATGTTTGACAAATACAGTTTTAATCATTTTTAATTCTAGTCATTCAATAAGTCATGATAACAATATTATCATAATTTAATTTATACACAAAACTATTTTACACTCATGTTATAATAGATGTGTGTATATCTATAATATTATATATATGACATTAACGCCATATTAAATCAATTTAGTTGTTAATTTGTAAAAATAAAATGCAATAAAAACTACATTTTATGACTTACAGTGACTTTTCAGGCGCCAGAGTTCCAGTAGTGAGGACTCTCTCAAACAGTACTCTAATATTATTTTCTTCATTCAAATGCGTTAAGTAATCAATATATGAGAGAATAAATTCAGGTGAGTTCCCAAACTTCTTGAGTCCCAATTCAAAGATCTTTGACGTAACGTTTGAATCCTATAATATTAAATTTAATCAAACATTCAAATCATTGTATATTCAATGTAAATATTTAAATACAATAATTATATGAATATATTCAAACAAATATTAACTTTATTGCAATAATATTCCATAAGAGCCGCCGCCGACCATATTTCATGACCACAACGACTGTCCTCACGGGCTCTCTTGAACACACTTCGGGCTGTTGTTATACTTTCAGTTCGTCGCCTAAACTTCATGTACTGAATATAAACAAGTGTCGGATCAAATCCTGGAGTTTGAATATTCAATAGTTTCTCATATATTTTAATGGCTTCTTCTTTACGGTTACGTGACTATACAAATAAAATATAAATATAAAATAACATAAAAATTGTTATATAAACTAATCATAAAAGCAAACATTGCATAACAGTCTAAAATCAATACTTCTTCAAAGTCGGCGTAAGCAAAGTTAATCAATATATTAGTGGAAAGTAGTGTTGTGGTGGCCCTGTCATAGATGGCCGACACTTCCTCCTGCAATGTCTTCTGTTCGTTCATATTTCCCTTTTCTCCCATTTCTTTACTCTTTTCTTCGATATAAGAGGCAAATTCATACCAAACGTCTGGGTGATGGCCCAGACATAGGATACATTGTTCGTATGCGAACTGAACTGTTTTGTGAATATAATTCAAAGATAAGTTCAAATATTTACTTTTAAAAATTAAATTTAAAACAATACCTCTTTTAATGACTAGAGAAGTGTCTTCGGTTTTCATTGGATTACTTTTCTCCCACTGAATGTATTTCCTCCAGAGTTCCACTTGTTTTGCCTCATCGGATGTGTTTTGTGGAGGAATTGCCGGAGCGTTGCGATTAAGACCACGAGTAACAGCTTCGAACTCTTTGGCAACTCTTCGGGCATTCATATAATCTTTAGATCGATCGGCGATCATCTTCTCGGCTATCATTTGGTTTATATTCTGTTAAAATAAAATTATTTATAATAATAACGCAATAAAAATATAATTGAATGTTAAAAACCTGTTCATAAGTGATATAATCCTTCCAAAAGGATTCAATACTAATCATAGGGTTAACGACACCCCTTTGGTAAACCCTACGAACGGCTGTAATCTTTTGGTTTTCGGCATAACTACCGACGGCTTCGACATTCTTAAGGAAGTGGACGTAATCGTTCCAAACTGAATACGATTGGATGTCAATTCCGATTTTCTCTAATGTAAAATCATAGGCTTTGGCCATTTTTTCCCGATAATCGGGAAATGAATTCTTTGTATCCTTTTTTGTTCAGATAATTTCATACAATTTGTTTAATACTAATCAATGAATTCAATTTTGGGGTTTAATTTTTGCACTCACTTTAATATATGTTAAATAACATCTCCAGAGATCAATATTAAGGACTTTGGTTAGACAGCGTTGAAATAGCTATACAAACAATTGAATAAACAAATTATATAATCAATTAAATCATTTTTGTTACAATCATTACTAATCGTATTTATAATACCCGTTCAACTTTATCGTAGTTACGAGATTTCATCTGTCATTCAAAATAATAAAATGTTTATTTTAATAATTTAAATATTTATTTTATTTGTATATATATATCAAAATTATTCTTATTATACAGAATATTAATTGAAAATTTAAATAAATATTAGAAAAATAACTAAATTATTTAAAGTACAATATCTCTTAATGCAAAGAAAATAAATTAGCTTTATTTGTAATGCAAAATATATCACTAAATAACAATAAAATAATTTAAAGATGTTTGGGCTCACTCTTAGGATTTCAATCAAAAGGATTAAAAACTAATTATAACTAACATTCAACTAAAGAAATAATGCAATACATTAAATAACAATTTATTATTTATTTATTTTAGGTGAGACCAGTACTTTTCAATCAATTAATATAAACTTAATAAGTTTTATGTTAAAAAGTTTTCTCTCGTTATTAGTTTTAGATTTGCGTTTATGATAAAATTATAAGAATATAATATTATAAATTGTTTTAAAACTTATAATAATAATACTTAAAATGAAATTAAACAAAACATATAATAATTTTTTATTTATTTGAAATTTCATTTAACATTTTACTCTAATAAAAGTATATACTAATTTTTGTATTAAAAATATAATTAAATTTCATTAAATAAAATATACAATATAAATTGTATTAACTTTTTAAAATAAATATAGTATAGTATTTATATATTGATTTAAATAAAATTAGCTAATTTTACAAACTTTGCATATAACAATTATTTTAATTACATCCTATGTATAAAGCATATATTATTTCCAACATTTTGTAAAATAATTATATAAATTAAATAATTGTTAAATTTAAATAATAAGTAATTAGCCAAATGTTTTTTATTTAGAAAATCATTAACATCAATGTTATGATTTTATTTATTATTATTCTATTACTTAATTAATATATTAATAAAATATCAAAATAATAAATTATTTTATTTATCTAATATTTGTTAATAATACACATTTGTTAATTTTATTTTCAAATTTAATTCTCAAATATTGTATACCAACATATTGTAATTTTTATTATTATTTGTGAAAATAGTATCAATTTTAATATTATACAAACCAATAACTTTAATAAAAAGTGACATAAAATGTACAACATTTTTATTAGTATGTGATATTTATTATTATTTAATTGTAATGCAATTATATGTTTATTATATTTATTTTATTTATACTTCGTGATGATAAATATCTATGTGATGTTAAACCAATTAAAAGTAACAAATTTTATAGTATTTTACTCTTAAATTTTGGTAAATATTTATTGTTATTTGTATATAATTAATTACAGTATAACTATAACGTTAATAATAAAATAAATAAATAATCCTACATACTGTATTTGTTTATATCCTTATAAAAAATTATATTTAAATTAAAAAAATTAAAACTATTAATCTTTATTTATATAGTAAACTATCGCAAATATATACACACACATATATATATATATATATTTATTAAAAAATAAAGTGAAAACTGTTGTCATTAGCCAATAGTTGCCTAAATATAGTCATAGCATCTGTGGTGACACTACTTTCCTTCCTTACTCCCACTCCTATATATTTATCATAACCTTTGCTTATAATTAGCAATTGAGACAATTATAAAAACAAGTTATTGATTAAGAAACTCGTAAATCAATGAACTGATTAATAACTTTTTAGATAAATTACTATAATTATAAAACCTGTTAACAATTAATGAATAAATACTATTAACCACTTTAGCATCACTCACACTCACACATAACCAAACAAACTTAATTTGGGTATAAAATTGCAAATACTGGATATAAATAAATCTAATTTAATTTATATATATAACATAATGAGTTAACATTCACCGTAACAAATGTTGGGTCAAAACCATAACTTTAAACTCAAACTACTTTTGACCTAAAAATCTAAATCACAACACATTTGGATTCAAATCAATAGATAGTAATTTTACATTACTATAAAAATATTAATAATAATGTCATTTAAATAATAAATTTGCTAAATAACTGATAAACTTCATTGTAATAATTGAATGCTTTTAATAGACAGAAATGAGAGCATAGATTATCTAAAAAAAATCATCAATGGTTTCAATATTAAAACAATAGATACCAGAGACACAAACAGCAAATAAACAATTGAATTTTTCATATATCAATAATATATTAAAATTTAATATTTCCAATATACATAATATACTGAATAATAAATATATTAAAACACACATATGTTTAAATCAATAGCAATAAAGTTTTCAATAAATTTATTTGAATATTGAAAAAATGTCAATAAATAGTGATAACACTTATGATTTGATGGTAACAACATTGCGAGCAAATTATTGTATTTTAAATGATTTAACTTTAATTCATATAAAAGGAAAGCAATGACAGAAAATTTTAATAATTTTTTATTGATTACAACCTCAGTCTCAATGTATAACTTCCAGAAGCGACCGGAATTTGGGAATTGAATGACCAGTTTCTCGAAGAACTCTCGCGACTCTTCAATACGTTTGCCCTGAGATTAGTGGACGACAATTGTGTCAGACATTCATATGATTACCAATCGGTTGGTCGGTTGGGTTGATATGCATTTAATAGCAACAATCGGTTTAGCATTAGATGTGATTGACAACAAAGTGTTGGTCAACAATGTATGGCATGACATACCTGTGCGTCTTTAATCAGTACATTCCAAGACTCGATGTCATACAGATTATCAGTGATCTTAACGTTAGCCTTAATCACTCTTTCGCTAACATTCTTCGTGTTTGTCACCGAATTGGTCGTCGGATTAATATTGTTGGTCGCAATTGGCTTCACATTTGTGTCCATTCTGTTTGGTGGCGAGTGTTGACCAGAGTTTTGGTCAGACTTACGTGACAATGACTTTTGCGGTGATGAGTATGAATCAAGACTGTGGTTGTTGTGGCCAACAATTGATCCCAATTTAACAGATAATTGCGATGAACTCTACATTTGGACGGACAGTGACATCAAGAAACTCAAACAATAGTCTAATCCAGACATCAATATAGATATCGATTCAATACTTACGGCAAACATAACTCAATGGTCGACGATATTAATCATCTAATGTTTTATTTATGTTTTTTTTTGTATACAATTAATGAATGTTTAATGAATTAATAAATTATCAATAAATTTATGAAATAAATTAAATGCAAACAAAACGTGTCGTTAAATGTTATGATTTTAATAACAAATCAATTGAACGATAAATGGTTTGTAAATATTGAATGAATTGATATATAAAGAAAACAATTGATTCAATCATTGCATGCCTTAAAACATACAAATGTCCGCACATTTCAATAGTTCAATACATATTCAGACATCAATTACGTCATTATTGATAACAAATATTTTATTAATATTTAAAATAATTATTAAAATTGTATTTTACAAATAAAATAGTAATATAGAGATTATAATGATATCATATATGAGAAATAGTCAGTCAATTATCCATTTTATAACACAATCTATACATAAATTAAATATAATTTTTTAAAATATAATATTTAAAAAACAAATTATTTTTGACAAAACATATAAAAAAAGTGAGAAATGCAAGAAATGTATTGAATAAATAAAATTCACTTTCGTTTTGAACTTTTCGTCTTATTTTTGGTACTCTTCTTGTCTTTGTCGGCATATTTGGCCTCAAGACCAGCGATCAGACTATTAAAACCGTTTTCATTCTTCGACCGAATGGCTAAAACCAAGTCATTGTCCGATTGATTCTTCATTTTCTTTGACGCCTTCTCTGCCATTTTGGCCTCTTTTTTAGCCTTATTTTGTCTTTTACTTCGTTTGACATCCAATTCATTAACAAATGCATCAAATTCTTCTACTTCTTCGTTATCAATCATTTCTTGAATCAATTGTCGAGTCCTGTCCTCATCGAAACCGATTAGTGATTGACTTATGGCATCCATATCGCCCTCAAATCGTATGTAAAACGTCTTGAGATCGTTCCTCTCATCTTCAGAACCAATATATTTGTCCATAAAAGACTCGACATCTTTTTCGGTGATCTTCGGGAATAACAATCGCCAGTAATCATACCAATCGTCTTTCGATTCAAATGAATCGTCACTCGGGATAATACCGGTCTCGTCATATGTTTGACGGTTTGTCTTATCACTCAATATATAGTGTACTTTAGACAGTGTCTGAAAAGCCCTTTTGGCCACTTCCTTGTCCACCGTGTCATCGGCTCTGTCGGGATGTACTTTAAGAGACTGTTTGCGATATGCGGTCTTAATCTGGCTATCGGTGGCCTCTTTGTTGACGCCCAACACTTCATATAAATTATCGCAACCAAAGTATTGCTTGCAGTCATCCAATAGACCCATCTTTGCGGTGATAATCAGCTAAATGTGTACTAAAATGTAAACAAAATATTAATAAGAGTTTAGTCGACGATATGTTATGTCAATCAATATGTGTATCGCATTGTTATACAAATTGGCGCTTAAATCAAATGGCAATTACTAAGCGATCCCTCAATTTTATCGATATTAATATTTATTAGTTTTTTAATAAAGTAAATGATTTTTTAAATTTAAAATAGAGTCGAAACCAAAGGCTTTTAAGAAAACCGAAAATAAAAGTCAAACGAAAATTAAGATATAAAGTGAAACAAAAATAATTTCGGTTCCGGTTTAGTGTTAATTCAAAAAAATCATTAATAATAATAATTTTGATTAAGTTTTAGTTATTTATTATTAATTTATTGCTATATGTATCTCATATTTAAAAACTACTCTAAACTTTATCACTGAAATGATTTAAATTCAAGTTTTATTTTATTTTTTATAGTTATTATTAGTTTCTCAATCCATTTATTTGTTTGAAATATTTAGTTTATATTTGTTTATAGATTTACAACGATTACGGAAAATATTTTAATATTAAAACAGTTTGTATTAAATATGAAAGCTATAAGTTTAATAATTTTATGATTAGTGTATACCTAATGTGTATTGCCTATACCTATACCTATACTTATACTGTATTAAATATCCAATCAATAAAATTACATAATTATCAAATAATTAATGAGAAATAATGAATTAAATGCTATTATATTAAAGTAATACTACTGTATATACAGTATTAATATTAATATTAAATAATATGTGTTTGACTGCCATCTGATGTGTTTAACAGTCGTAAGAATAAGTGACGCAAATCTGTACTGTATTTTGATTGATGTGTAAAAAGGCGTCAAACCTGTTGTTTGTATGAATTCAATCATTTTGTATACCTTTTCAATACATATACGTTGTGTTTGTTGTGTAGTGAATGTGGTTATCATTCAAATGCATTATACGTTTACTTACATTATGTATACATAACTATAGCTATAATAACAAGTTTTTTAGTTGTTTTGTAAACTCATTTGCTGTTGTGTTTGACTTTTAATTTATTTATATTTCATATTATTTTTATTTTATTACTCGACTTACAATTATTTATAATATTAACAGTATTATTACAATTATTATTATTTATTCAGTTATTAATAATATTAAGTTATTTTTAGATCAAAACGTTGTTTAATAAATGCAATTTATTATTTAATTTTTAATGTTTATATGTAGACAATCGATAAATAAGGTATTTATAAATATTAATAAATAATATTTATATTACTATAAAAATATTTACGTTGAAAAAGTTTTAATATAAATAAAAGTATCAAATTTATATAATCTAATGTGTGTTTGTGAAAATTAATACATTATCAAAATATAAAGTATATTGTTATTATACAAATGTATGTGTAATATGATAATACAAAATAATTTGGTAAGTTTTATTTGAATTACTAGTTATACCATAAATTTTATATATAAGTTATTTTTTTATAAATTGTTGAAATAAACATATCCTATGCAACAAGTGTTCAAACAATTGTGGGCTAAATGAAGGACTTATTGTTAGTTTATATTTATATATATAGCATATGATTGTCTCATTGTTTGCCACTTATGTTTCATATACCTTGTATTGCAATATTATGTTTTGAATGATAATATATCAAAATTTATGATATAAGCTGGTAATAAATAAGCAAAATAAGCATCATCATTTTATTATTTGTTTAAAACAAATGTTATAAATAAAAGCCGATAATATATGTGTAGTAATAATCAATGTTTTGTGATTGTCTTTTCATTTATTGTCGGTATAAATAAATGGCCCCAAAGTGTAGGTGTTTTGTGTCGTTAATGTTATGCAATGTAAGCGTTTTAAGAGTAAAACCAGTTTTTCGGTTGTCTTTTATTATTATTATTATTATACTATCTATTTGTAGACAAACTTTGTGTTTATGCCAGTGATTATGATTTATAATTTTAATTACAAGTCAAAGCACTTTGCAAACAATTTATAAAATAAATTAATGAATTATAGCAATGCCTCAAATATGGGCATAAAATTTGCAACTCATATACTTTACTACTGTTTTAATGGTCCGGAGTTTAGTCATACATATCTAATTTATCCAAACATTAGACATCCCTGGTTAGGGCCACCCGGTATTGAATTGATGACTATTTTTATTTATTTATCAGGTATTGAAATTTGTTTAAAGGCTGAACCAAAACAAATATCTATTGAATGATATTATATGGGATTCATAGGGAGTCTCGAGAAATGTTGTGAATCACAGTAATGATCAAAGAAATCATTATTTTTTGGCTAAACTCAAATAAAAAGCGTTTCCTCTGTAAAGCAAATGTTTAGTTAAAAACAGTTTTACGCCTCAAAAACTTATATCTATTTTTAAATAATTTAACCAATAATAATAATAATATGTTTTATATTATGTGATGTTTTTAAAAAATGAGAAGAAAAAAGAAAGATTTGTAAAAATAGTTTTGAATATTATATAAGTTTAATGTATTGATATATTTAGGGAATGTATGTACAGTATTAGGAGTGCCTTTAGTTTAAAATTTAAAAAAATAGATATAATGACAGTTTGTTTTGTAACGATGACAGTATTAAGTCTACTGTATTATACAGCATTATATTAATAAAAATGTTTGTTAAAGTTGTGATCATAAATATTTATATGATATTTAAAATATAGTTCATTTCACTATTGATGACTTTTTATGTTTAAAAAGTTTATCGTGAGAATAGTTTAAAATACAAATTGTTAGTTTACGGTAAAATGTCATATAATATGTCAATCAAATGAGATTTAATTTTCATGTGTTTTATATTTGATAGTGTTAACTATATTATTAGTTTTGATTTTATAGTTATTAAGTCAATTAGGAATTTAATAACAACAACATATGTTTTCCAACTTTACGATACAAGCAAATCAAATCGTAAGCATTTTGATATCAAATATTTTAGGGTCTATTGTCAATAAGCTATTGATATTTTCTAATCTTATTTGTTAATTTTTAGTTAAGCTAAATAATCAATCATATTTATTAGCAGGTATTTTTATTAAGATAATATTAACAATAATATCATGAAAATAACTGCTACACAATGTTTTTAGTTTATAATATGTTGGCCACCGGTTATACCACTCATCATTTTAGATTCCCTATCGTCAACACTTAATATTAAATTTATATTTTGTATAAATTAAAGTATATTAACTATAAATAACATGATAGATAATAACTATAGATAACTTTATAATTAGAAAAATAATGATGAAGTTAACTGTATACATGATATACAGCATAATCGATGAAAATGTATAAAAATTTATACATTTAAATTAAGATGATCTTGTAATTTGTCTTTTAACATGTCTTTTAAGTAAATTTTGCTTATTTTTATTAGTTTTATATTTTACACCAGTATTATAGTTAGCAATATACTGTAGTCAAATAAATTATACGCTATTTGTTATTTCATTGAAGACACAAACAAGAGGGGCTATTATTGACTATTAAAAAATAATTATAAATATGATTTTCTGAGTTTTATATTATAATATATTATAAATTCAATTGTCTGGAAGTATATACTTATATATAAGTTGTATTGACATAAAATACTTGTTGATTAATCAGTAAATAGGAATTTAACAAATTATTGATATATATTTATCATTATATTTCTATGGCAATCATAGCAACTAAGATATAATAATTTGCTGACAGTTAGTGACCTATTATTAATTTTTATATGTTTCAAATATTAATTATTATTTTTTAACATTTATTATAGAAAATAATAATTAACTATTTATATCAATATTTAAATTATATTACTAATATATGTATTGTCTACCAATTGTTTAGGGAATGATTGTATTTTGTGTATAATTGTATGTTTGTTTGCCAACTGTGCACTTAATTGATCCCAACATTGGTGTGTTAGTCATGATGTCCTCCAAAAGTGCAGTAAATGGTTTGAATTCATGTAAATGCTGTCCGTATGGCTTTCATATCGATACAGATTTTGTCAACTATACTGAAGTACTTTTGACAGCCCTTTATGGCAATCCATCTGATAAGCGATTGTCCCAAACCTTGCGCTGTCGGACCACAAACTCATTTCGCCGAAAAATAACTTCTGCTTTTTCCACACTAAACTCCAGTTCCACCCGAAGCGCAGTCACCGATGCATTCCTATCGTATTGTGATTATAATTATAACAACATTTCAGGCTATCGTCTCAATGGTCATCACAAAGAACTCAATGGACATCACAACAAACAAGAAAGACAGTCACCAAAAGATAATTTTTCATTAGACAAAGACTCTATCAATTCGTTGATCAATGACTACAGTCTGGGAGATGTGGTCGACGAGTTTGAAGAGACATATAATGAGTCTCATAGAAGATTATCCAATGCTTCCGATAACGTCAATGATAATGAATTTATAAAAAAGTCAATAAATATGAGTGATATGAATGTGGAGAGACCAGCCTCACCACCGGCATCACCGGCACCGTCATCATGTGCTTCCTCTAATATATCACGAGTTGTTTTGTCGCAAATTCGCGATCAAATGGCACTTAGTTTAGCTCGAGTTCGGGAACTTGAAAATCAGGTCAAATTGATACCTAATTTAAAACAAAAAGTTATTATTTTAAGAGAAGAAAAGAAAATATTGATTAAAAAATTAAAAGAAGATTTAAATGATGACAATGTTTTTAATCATCACAAAGATATGATTCGTGTCAAGCAATTAGAAAATAGTGGTCTTATAACACCAACAATGAAGAGACGGAAATTCCTATTGAAATCAGAGTCTGATAGTGAAGATGACGAGTTTGACGACATTTGGATACGATCTTCACCTCCGCCATCAAAATTGGTTTCTTCAAAAAACATAAGACTTGAAACACTAAATGAAAATCAAACTGATTTATCAAACAAAGTACAACAGAAATCAGAAATGATAAACGTTTCAACAAATACAGAGAAAATCTCATTTAACCGAACAACTGTTGAGGTGTCAACAAATACTGATGAGATCCCTGAGCGAGATATTAGATTAAGTTTTGATATTTTAAATTCAATATCAATAGAACCTGAAATAATGATTGAAAATATTACACCACAACCTAAAGTAACCAAACGATCAATTGGTATCTCAACCAGTTTGGCACCGAGTCTTCCCCGAAATGGTCGCAGAAGTGTTGCTATCGAGACGGATCTCAAGGCATGCGATACAGTGAGCATTCAAGAAATAGAGGCCCAGAAACCAGCGATGGTCTCATGGGGTACTGATCCGATTCGTGTGATTTATGCTAACAATCAAATACAAGTGTCGCCCAAATGCTGTGATGTCAGCACTAAAACCGATGTTCCGGTTGTTAAAAATGTTAGTGTAGTCTGTAATTCATGGGATTTTGGTTCAAAAGTCAATTGGACTCAAACCGACAAAAAGACTTTTATTAGTAAATCAATTCAATGCATACAAAACTGTCAGAAATGTGAACTAAAACAAACTGAAACTATAGGTGTCGGAGATAATAATGTATACGGAATGTTGACGAGTGATAAATCAGTTACCACTGACCGACCAACTACTTTGGATAGCAATCTTAGAGCTGGATCTCCTGTTTATCCTCCAGTTTCGAGGGCCAGTTCAATACAAAGCATAAGATTGTGTGATAAATGTAATGAAACTATTACTTCTGTAGCTAAAGATGTTATAAGCGGTCCTCAAGAGAAAATGTCGAGTCCTATACTTCAGAGTCGTATCCCAAGACCTATACAAAGTACCGGATCTCTAGAAAGGAGGTCTGTTAACGACAAAATTATTGAAGAGTCACCAAATGAAATACTAGTTTACAAGAATCCAAGTTTAAGCGTCGGCTCGAGTCCTATTAAATCTAATCCTCCGTTTAATTTCAAGAACTTATCTTCAAAGCCACCAATTAAAAGATCAGATGTTTTAAGTCCTAAAACATCTCAAGCGTTGAAAATTCTTGACGATGTCTTTACAATATCAGAATCTGATGAGTCTGAAGATGAAAGCGGCTCTTCATCTGAGGGAACCTATGAAGTGGAGACGGGAGCCGTTGCTAAGGTCAGGGAGAGAGTAGAGCCGTCTAAAGAAATAAAAGCAGCTCTTAAAGTGCTTAACGATAATCTTATTAAACCTGAAAAGACAAACAAATCTGCTTTAGTGAGTTTGATAGAAGTTTTTTACTGTTTTTATAATATTTATGTAATTTTTTAATTTTTAATTATTTAGAACAAGAGTTTAGAAATCATAGAAAAAGAGTGGTTCAAAGTGGCCGCCGATAAAGAATCGGATTCACATACAGTTGAAGACTATATCGACTGTTTTGAGACATATTCAAAGCATTTACTTAATCGTGTCGTCAATTTGGATGACAAGAGCGGTAATACAGCCATTCATTACGCGATATCTCTCAATAACTTTGATATCGTGTCTGTACTCCTCGACTCTAAAGTTTGTGACGTAAATAAAACAAATAAGGTTTGAATAATTAGACAGTTATTGAATTTTTTGATTGTTTTATTTTTTATAATAATTTTATATATCATTGTAAAGGCTGGATATACGGCAACAATGTTGGTCTCGCTGTCCAAAGTAGAGAATGACACACAAAAGGCAGTTATTAGACGTCTTTTTCAATTAGGAGACGTTAACATCAAAGCTAAACAAGTGAAACATTTATTTATTATACAAAATATTTATTATAATCTAATTATTATTTTGATGTAAAGAACGGTCAAACGGCGCTAATGTTGGCCGCAAGTCACGGGCAGTTCTTTACCTGTAAGATATTACTTGAATGCGGAGCAGCTATTAATCTACAAGACAACGATGGCTCGACAGCTCTTATGTGTGCCGCAGAACACGGACATACAGATGCTGTTAGACTATTGTTGTCTCATCCAGACTGTGATCCAACTATTGTGGACAACGATGACGCCACAGCTCTTCATATAGCAATGTCCAACAATCACAATGATATCGGACTTATGTTATACGCGTCTACTTCGATGCTAAGCCGTGGGTCATCACCGTATGCTTCTCTGCGAAAGACACAATCAAAAGCTATAGCGGCTAGTCTTCGACGTACCGGTTCATTCAATTACGGTCACTCACGTGTTACGCCGCATACGTTTCAATTAGCGCCGTCACCGCCGCCGCGATCAAGACATTCCTCCACATCAACCAATAAATAAACAAAAAATCAATAAAAGTCATTATAATATAATAATAACTTTTTAAGTGCCTCTACTTTTAACATTTAACTAATTATGAGCACTAATTTAATTTTAATTTTGGTCCAATTTTACCAATAATTATACCTGTATTTTACTTTATTCATAAGTTTTTTTTTGATTGTAAATCAATTAATGTATTATTTTATTATACAATTTTTTACATAAGTTATATATTTTTATTTTAAAATTAACGACTATTTATATTAGTTTATAATTAATGTTATTATATTTACTATTATTAGCTAACAATTGTGTGATTAGATTTATAAAGTGATTAATATTTTTTTTGAAAGTCATTAAAAATTGACAACAAAATGATTGTTTGTTTCATTAAAATATATTAAGATTTTTTAAATTTTAAATGTTTATAAAATTTATATTGAATAATGATACTCTATAATAGGATAAATGCAATATATTTCAGAACTTAATACAGTATTAAACACTCATAAAAATGTGGCAAATTTTGGTAATTAAAATATTAATTTTTTAATAATAAACTGCCATCGTTTGCCAAAATTCATGATAGTAATAAATTTTAATTTAGATATAAAAATAAGTAAATAACAAAATTGTTATTTATTTTACCTATGTTTACTAAAAAATTATTTAGATATACCATATAATTATGCTATAAATTAATCTGACTATTTTATTGCAATGGTTTTATTCATAAAATAATTAAATACGTTTATAAGTTATAACTACAGTATACTTATAGTATATTAAATATTAAATTTAGTTATTTATAAAAATATTCTTAGATTTACTATTATTTATATACAATATATTACTATAAATTATAGTCTATAATTGAAGATTATTTATTTAATCAAAACATTTAACTATACATTTAGTAAATTCACATATTTATTGATTTGGCAGTCGCTTTGTAATAAATTTTATGGCATAAACATTATTTTTATATAAATAATTTTATTGCATAGTATAAAACTAATAGTAATTTTTTTTGCGTTGATGTACTTTTTTGAATTAACTATCATTAACTTAATGATTAATTTTTCTAATCCAGTCTTTGAAAAAATCCAAATCTGATACCAAAAAGTGTGTGAATTACAAACTAAGTTAATTGCTTTCAAATTAATACACTAATAATGATATATTGTCGTCATGTGTAACATGATTTCATATAGAGTTATACTATTTTACTTAAATTTTTCTTTAGGAAAATTTCTCATTAAAAGTGATATAACATTGAGTTTTATATCACGAAATTATTGATTCATTTAGGAGTTAAATGAATGAAAAAATTAATATAATTTTTAAATACAAACTTAATGCTGTATTTGTCAAAAAATATTAATCACAACTCTTTTTTGTTTCTTTTTTGTGTTAATACATTAAAAGAAGTGTTAGACTCAAGAAAAAAACGATTAATATTTATTGAATATTGTAATCAATAAAAATCACGAACTTTTTTGTTTAATTAATTGAAACATAAATTGCAAAATAAATATATTTTATAAGAGTTACCTTATATTAAACTGACTCTTAGGACGGGTAGTTGTGGCTCAGTTTGTTAATACAGTATATACAGTATTATACTTACTGTATGCTTATTACAGTATAATCATAATATAGATTAAGTAAAGATTTTTCTAAAGCTTTATAAAAATTTATTAATTTAACTGAATTTCGTAACACATAGATAAGTACAATATTTTTTAATATTAAGCTAAATAAATACAATTTATTTATTTAGAAAAAAATATATGATTTATTCATTAACAAGTCCAACATATTATGTAATATATATATTATATGAATTACTATTGGAAAGACGAATATTAATTATTTTGGAAATTTTATAATAAGTAATTTTTAGTGAATTTCAATTACATTACAAAAGAAAATAATTCAATGTTTTTCAAACAAGTTATGAATAGTTGACAATAGATGATATGTTATATTATAGCAATTATATGCATAATTAAATTACTATTAAAAATACTAATGTTTTTAATATTTGTATGATATATGTAAATGATTATCAAAATATATTTGTATAGCTATTATAATAAATAGATTAAAAAATTGCTATTAAGTTATTAATTCGATACTAAAAATGTATAAATATATTATATATATGAATATATATATAAATTACTATATATTACATAATATTTTATTGTATTTTATAGGAATATTGCAAATTTACACCTGTATTTGACAAATAACGTGTGGAAATACAGTACAACCCTTTTTACAATATCTTTAATTGCTTTTTAAGTATCTGATTGAACTTTCCAAATACATTATTATTAATATTCATTTATATTTTATATTATAAGTTTATTTGTATATATTTAAATAACCAATCAATAAATTATACACCTGCTAAATATAAACTAACGCAAAATAATTACTATTAATATTATTCAATGCAAATATCAATTGGTTATTAACTATAGAAATAAATTTCGGATAACTTGAAACAGCTTTTATGAGTGGATAACTCATAATAGTTATAAATAGTTATAAATATTAATGAGAAAAATAATTATTATAATTAAAATGTCGCTAAAATTATTGTTTTCAATGTCCGGTAAAATTATTTTTTAAAATCATTAAAAATATTTTAATCTTTCAAAAACTTATTAGAATGTTTAATAATATAATGTCAAACATTGATTTTTTATTTTTACTTTTTTTACTTAAACATATATTACTTAAGTTTTGGTTTAAGTTTGTTAACTTGAAATATTTGTGTATTATTATTGTTTTGTTATACAAATTGTTTTTTTTCAATAGAGTTGTGATTGGATGACAGATCATAATCTTATAAAATGTTTAGTTTGTGGTTAAATACTATTGTTTAAAAAACTTTAATTGCAATCAATTAATGAATATAATTTAAAAGATATATATTTTTTTGATTATAAAGTTATGATAAGTCATTTCTAATATTTTAATTATTTAATGCAAACTTTTATAGGCAAATTACTATTGTTGAATACAATTGGCCTCTAATTTAAATAAATGTTTTTAAAATTACATTTAACTAATATTTAAAATAATTTTCATGGGGTGGTCTTTAATAAACAAAAATTCAAAGTTACTTAATTACATAATACAAGTAATTTGGTAATTGACATGAAATTGATCATATGATCATGGTCAATTCAATATATACAGATTAGTTGTATAATAACTCCCAATTTTGTTTCAATGAAAAATCACTGTATTTTCTCATAGTTTCCCACATAATGTTTATATTTAAGTACAACAAACAACAAAAATAATAACATTATCTCTTTGAGATTCAATGCATATTCATTAGCAATAATTTAATGTCTAAGTAAATCCTGAACAAAGTTAGGCATAACTTATAGCATATCAATATTGTTGAGCAAAACAGAGAGAGAGAGAGAGAGAGAGAGAGAGAGAGAGAGAGAGAGAGAGAGAGAGAGAGAGAGAGAGAGAGGATCGTGTGATCAGTAATGAGAGGAAAATATTGAAAACCATAGGAGTGGGCAAACATTTTTGGCTTATTTTTTAAGCAAAACCTATATTTTTATGACCACTTCTTCAAACCCTAAAACTAAAAACTCATTAATCATATTGAAGGCCACAAAATAGATTTTTAATGTTTAGACCATTTGTTTGTAGGACTGAGTGCACGCTTCATACATATTGAGCTTATGTATGGTTGTGTCAGTTCACTCAACTCTCATAAAGCTTATCAATCTTTAAAAACAATATTATATACAGTGTATTAAAACGGGCCCCAAAAAACCTAACCCTTTTAATTGCTAATCAAAAATCACAACTAATATAATGAACAAATCGTTACATAAAAATAGGACTAATATAAGGCACATATTATATAAAATATCACTACAATCTATACAAATAGTTTTACTCCTTTTGCTTATTATATAATATAATAAAATTCCCCCAAAAATGAGGCACACTTTCTATAATATAAAATAAGAAAACTTCTTAAAAATGACTATTTATTAATTGAAAGATTGCAAAGTGTTGTGGAGTTTAAAATTAATTATTTAATAACAATACATTTACATATTTTAAAAGTTATTTTTAAAATAAAAATATGTATCACACATTAATAATAAGTTGAATTATTACAAAACTTTAATTAAAATAATTAAACTAATATTTTAACTTTAAAATATATATTTAATTATTTTATAAAAAAATAATAAGGAAATATATAAACATTTAAAAAAATAATTTATATGATTTATATAGATTGTACTTTTAAGTAATTCATATAATACTAACATTTTTGAGACAATTAATTAATTAATTAATTAATATATATTCAGAAAAACCCTATATTTTCAATAATAAAAATATAGTTATTCTAAAAAATGAAATAAAATATATTATAAATAAAGTCAAATCATTTAAGAGACTATTAATTAAAGACTAGCCTTACTGTGCAATTGAGATAAATAATTGTGAGTACAAGCCCTGAATACCTGTATGACTCTTATGCCATATAACTTATTAGATATATGTTATATAATTAAACATTTGTTATAAACATAATCTATATTATATATTATATAACTAAACGCAGTTTAACCATTATGATTATAATTAAGTAGTTAAAAAATAATCTAAATTTTATTTTTTAATAATTATTTTTTTCTGTTAATTCCTTAATTAAGAATTATTTATTAAATGAGGTTTAATCTGTTTTTATAAAAGTATGGATATAAAGGCGCAGATTAAACAATGGGTGTCTTAATTGAAAATTTAGTTTCATTTATCCTCTTATATTACAGGATATTGTGTGATATTATGTCTGTTCATAATTGGTCAATAAATAAATGTTAAATAAAAATTATAAATAACTTAAGAATTTTATACGTTTATGGAAAGTTTTGCATAAAAATATTTATAGTTATAAAAATATTATATAATATAAAATGTTAGGCTTAAAAAATAAGTAAAAATGCTTTTTTTTGCTAATTTTTTGAATCCTAATTGTGTGATGATTACAGAAGAAGACTATTTAATTTTACCGACACCGGGAGGGGATCAAGATTTTGAAGGATCAGTAGACTGTTTTTGCTTTTGCAGACAAAACA